TCACATAACATCAGTGACACTGCTTGTCTCTTTCGTTCTATACATATGGAGCTAACACCCACCCACCCCACCCTAGGTTATCTAGATGATATTATAGTTACAGGAAACAATACAATAGATCATTTAAATAATCTTCAACAATTATTTATACGTATACGTGAATATGGTTTTCATCTGAACAAACAAAAATGTTCATTTTTACAAAATCAAGTTGAATATCTTGGTTATATTGTTGATAAACATGGTATTCGTTCATCACCATCAAAAACAACAGCAATTATTAAAATGCCTCGTCCAGATAATATTTCACAATTACGTTCATTTTTAGGTATGGTTAATCATTATGCAAAATTTATCCCGAAATTAACTGAACGATTATTTCCATTATATGAATTATTAAAAAGGAATAAACCATGGAATTGGACTTTTCAATGTGAAAATACATTTAAATCTATTAAAGAAATTCTTATTTCGCCATTGGCACTTGTTCATTATGATCCAGCTTTACCTCTAGTAATGGCTGCAGATGCATCTAATGTAGGTGTAGGCGCTGTTATTTTTCATCGTTATCCAAATGGTTCCGAAAGAGTTATAGCACATGCATCAAAAACATTAACACTAACAGAAAAAAAATATTCACAGATTGAAAAAGAAGCATTAGCATTAATTTTTGGTGTTCAAAAATTTGATCAATTTTTACGTGGTCGTCGTTTTACATTATTAACAGATCATAAACCATTAATTACAATATTTGGATCAAAAAATGGTATACCAACAACTTCAGCTAAACGTCTCCAACGTTGGGCACTTCGTTTAATGGGTTATTCTTATGATATTCAATACCGTTCAACTCTTCAATTTGGCCAAGCTGATGGTCTTTCACGTTTACCTGCTGGTCCTGATACAAAATTCGATCAAAATGATCCTACAGAATCACGTCTTATAAATTTAATACAACAAGAATTACAATATGCATTACCTCTTCGTGCTGCACAAATTGCAATTGAAACAAAAAAAGATAAAATACTTTCACAAGTTTATAATTATATTCTTTCCGGTTGGCCAACAACAAATATTGAACATTTACAATCATATTATAGAATTCGAAATGAATTATCAACAGCACATGGTTGTATTACATGGGGTTTTAGAACAATTATCCCATCCTGTTTCAGACAACGTTTACTTAATCATTTACATTCACCACATTTAGGAGTGGCTAAAATGAAAGCTGAAGCACGTCAATACTTTTGGTGGCCATTATTAGATAAAGATATTGAAAATATTGTTAATCAATGTCCAAGCTGTTCCGTCAATTCGAAACAACCACCAAAAGCTTCATTACAACAATGGAATGTACCTGAACAACCATGGCAACGTATACAAATTGATTTTATGGGAAAATTCTTTAATTATTATTACTTAATTGTTGTTGATGCTCATTCAAAACGGTTAGAAGTATTAGTTATGAATAATATTTCTACAAAAGCAACTATTAATGCTTTACAATCATTATTTTCTCGTAATGGGTTATGTGAACAAATTGTTTCAGATAATGGTACACAATTTACTTCCGAAGAATTTAAACAATTTTGTTCTAGTAATGGTATTGAACATATTCGAACAACACCAGGACATGCTCAGTCAAACGGACAAGCTGAACGTTATGTTAATACAGTTAAATCTGCTATTAAAAAAGAACTTTACAAAGGGGGATAGGTAACGGATGTATTAAATAAATTTTTGTTTTCATATAGAACACCTCCTCATGCAACAACCAATTTATCACCAGCTGAATTATTTTTAAAACGAAAGCCTCGAACTGTATTAGATCTTCTTCGTCCTTCTGCAACTGATATATCCATGAAGGCTCGAAAACGATACAAATAAAATTTTGATCGTCATACTAAAGATCGACAATTTAATATTGGTGATAAGGTATTAGTTCGTGATTTTAGAAATAATCTAAATCAAGTGCAATGGACACCAGGTGTACTTATCGGTCGCATTGGTTCAAGAATCTGGTCGATCCAAATTAGTGATAAAATTTGGCGTCGTCATGAAAATCAAATTAAAATTCGTTGTTATTCAACTGATGATGATATTATTACTATTCCAACATCATCACCTCCGACAACAACAACGTCAAATAATTCATCTCCATCTACATGTAAACCTAATCTTGTTCAAGGTGCTCAAGGTCCATTAATACCTCGTCGTTCATCACGGAAAAAGAAACAACAAAAAGATTGATAGAGGAAACTTAAAGGTGGAGGAATGTCATATAGTGAAAACAAATACATTCAATACTATCTTTATTTTCTCTCCTTTTCTTTCGTTCTCTTTAGTTTGTTATACATTCTGAGTAGCTAGATAATACATATATTGTTTCGTTCTTTCTCCTATGTCTAGTCTCATATTACGTATTTCTTTTTGATTTTTTTGCATTGCGTATTTCCTTTTTCATATATTTCTTTAGTTATTGCGTCAATTTGAAACAACATTATCTTTTTGACCCTATTACTGTTTAACACGTCAATAAACTGATATTGACCTATTTCTTCTTCTTCATTGATACACAGCACACTACGTGACAAGTTATATGCGTAATGATCATAAACTTTATCGGAAAAATGGAATCTAGTTTACTTTGCTACTCTTCCTTTAATTGCATCAATACTTTAACTGTTGTTTCTCACAGAGAAACAGAGACAGCTAGTTTAGTTTACCTCATTTTTATTTTACTTATTCCAATAGTTGCCGGAGATTTTACAGAAGCAAGAAAATGAAAAAAAAAGCTTTTCTTTCCTTTTTTTAAGTTAGTTATTCCGTGTATTGCTCGTCATTTTTCTGAGAAAAAACCTAACAGTGAATGGAAGGAAGCTAGTTTAGTTTAGTTCTTTTCTATTTTAGTTCTTCCGATAGTTGCCGGAGATTTTACAGAAGCAACAAGATGGAAAAACGCTTTTTTTTTTCTTTTTTCTTCAGTCGGTTATTCCGTGTATTGCTCGTCATTTTTGCGAGAAAAGACTAAAAGGTTAGTTTTGTTTATTTTTTCTTTTTCATCATTGAGATATTTTGAGAGTAATCGTACATGTTATAAAAAGAACAATCTAATAGCTTAGTTTCTGATAGAAACGGAGAGAATAGTTTGTTTTCGTTGTCTTTGTTCAATTATTCTACGAGCTTTTGCGCATTTTATAATGAAAATTTAATTCTAACTGAGAACGACACCTACATCTTTTGTTTCTAAATTATGCATAGATAGTTGTATTTTTTTATGATTTTTTTATATCATTTTGGAAAAAAACACAACAGAGTCAAAGGAAACTGATAATCGTTCTACTATGGGGGAACGCGAAATCTATGTTCCGATATCCAATATCGACACCCTATCTTAATGCAGAACTTTTTATCTAAATTTAAAAAATAACATATGAATCAATTTCTAGTTATACCCTTCGACAAATATTCAATCTCACCCTACAAGTTAACAGTTGAGTATGAAAAGTCGTTCTTCTTTTTATTTTCTTTTTCAAGTCATCATTCAGCGAAACTGCATAAGTGACTCATTACCAAAGAGTTAAGAATACACAAGATTAGTAATTAATATAGTTAGTGTGGGTATAGGCGGCGGAACGATTTTAATCTAGGGAAGGCTCAAAATTTTTCTTCAGACGGCCATGAGAGGCAAGATAAAAAACGATCCAATTTCTATTTGAGTAATTCCCACTCTATTGAAAATGTATACCTGTGCTCCTTCATGTCAATCACACTAAGATAAAATGTGTCGTATGTGTCGCACTTTGCGACACAATGTACGACACATTAATATGCGACACGAGGAGCTCGTTGCGACACATTTCTTCCAGCGGACGTACGACACATTCTTGTGCGACACATGCGACACATTTTTACCGCGTGGTTCGAATCCATTTTTCGGCACGAGAATTATTTTTTTTTTGAAAATTCGAATAGTTACTATTTTTTCAGTTAATTTCAAACAGTAGCACCTATTCTTGGAGTTCGAGACGGTAGATCGTAAGATCTAGCTGCCTCGAGACCATTTGATCTCGATCAGACTACGTCGAGGCAGTCCACTCTCGATCATCTAGTGACCTCTCGACATGTTCTCGAATAATAAATGGTCGAGAAATAATCTAGAAAAAAAAGACATACGAAAATGTATAAGTCAAGTACGTCCAATAGGCTCGGTTATATGCAGCTGCACTCGCGAAACAAATCGGTGAATGAACGATTGACATATAGGCTACGACACATCTATAATGCGACACATTTTTGTACGACACATTTTTGTAATGGAGTCTGCGACACATTCTTGTGCGACACATATACGACACATTTTATTTTAGTGTGAAGGCTTAAAACGTAATGAAAAATTTAACTGCTGTGTTCAATTTTCTAATTAATGGCCAGCACATACATAAAAAGTTCAAATCTAATCTAAAATGAATACATAAAGTCGAACTAGAAAATAGTATTCACGATCCCAAAAAAATATTTTCTGTTGTTTTTTTGAAGTAAAGTCGAAAAAGATACTGTTCAAGTCTAATTTATCGTACTTTTTCTTATGAATATGAGGAATAATGATATGATTTAAACGTCGTTGCGCCATGATTGCTCTTAGATGCATTCATTCGGTTCTTAACATCAAAAGATCTTTTACCCTTACCAGTTGTGACGAGAATCTTCAAATATAGACGTTTTTAGTGCAACACCACCTCTCGCAGAACAAAAAAGGCATGGCCTTCTATTATGAAAATTTACATCGCTCCTTCAAGATGGCCTTCTAATGTGGACTGCTTTTTTGCTAGCATTGTCCTAGAAAACCATGGATTTTTGAGAAAGTTTTTTCGCATTCAAACGGGTATTTTTCGCAGCTAAGTACCACAAAAATAGCTTTTTTTACTAGAAAAAAGGAATTTTAACGATGAAACCTTAGTTTTCTTAATTAAAAACCAGGCTTTTACGTGCTACAATCTCAGAAATCCCCTGGATTTCTGAAAAGAACTTTTCTGAAAACCCATGGCCTTCTGTTACACCATGCGAAACTTTTCTTGTAGATGGCCTTCTAATATAGGGTGGTATTCTATTCTGGGAGGGGGTTTATTAAATTAACAGAAGCGTGTGGGTGTGGGTGTGGGTGGGGGTGTGGGTGCGGGTGTGAGTGTGGGTGTGGGTGGGGGTGGGGGTGGGGGTGTGGGTGTGGGTGCGGGTGTGAGTGTTGGTGTGGGTGGGGGTGGGGGTGGGTGTGGGTGTGGGTGTGTGACTCTTGTTCTTCTCTTCATCCACACGTCCACATCCACACCCCTCGGCACGCACTCACAACCACACCCACCCACACCCACACCCACACCCACACCCACACCCACATCCACACCCAACCCCACACACCCGCACCCACCCACATCCACACCCACCCACACCCACACACCCCACACCCACACACTCACACCCACACCACACCCACACCCACATCCCACACCCATACCCACACCCACACCCACACCCACACACACCCCCTTCAAATCAGATTGAAATGAGTTTGTTTGGAATGTGTGTTTTTTTCTGTTTGTTTGTCATTATTCGTTTCTTATTTATTATGTGAGTCGTCTCCTGTTGCTATGTGCAATCCTCTTCAACATAATGTGTGTCTAAAGGGAGTTTTAAAAAGTGAAAAAGAAGGAGACAAATAACACAGAACGCAAGAAACATAAATTTGTGACACTGTAAAAGTAAGAAGGAAGTCATTTGAAAACGAAAGCAAGAGAACGGTGTACAACGCAATAAATTCAACCAACAGTGAAGATATTGATTGCAAGTATCTGGCTTAATTTGGGTGTGGTGGGTGTGGGTGCGGGTGTGGGTGTGGGTGTGGGTGATAGTCTGAATGTGGATCTGGATGCGAATATGGACGTGGGTGTGAGTGTGGATGTGAATATGTGCGCATACGTGAAACTTTCTTACTACTGCCACACGCGCATCAACACTCATGCTCACATCCAGGCACAACCACGCCCACGCCCACACTCAGCCACAGCCATACTCACAAACTCACACCCACGCACCCACACCCCAAACCCACACCCGCACCCATACCCACAGCCACAGTCACACCCACACCCACAACCACAGCCACACAAACACAAACACACACACATCCACACTCTAATCTATAGTGTTCTTGATGCTTTTCTTTTCTCTTGTTTATTCTCTCCTTCATTTTATATAATCGGACGAGTTAATGAGAAGAGTAAAGTTAGCACCAAGTTATGATATAATACGATGATACCCACGAAAAAAAAGTTTGAATAAAAACGCGTTCCAGCGCAAACTTTCAGAGAAAAAACGCTGTGTTTGCGTTTAAACGCATCTTATTTTATCTGAGACGCATCTAAACGTATCAGTTTTCATTTCCAACGCATTTAAATGCATTTTTTTATATTTCCAACGCGTTTTTTCAACTTAAAATGCCACCTAAAAATGTCATTCGAACATGTTTTATTTTATTCGTTACGACGCGTTTATTTGTTATGCATATTGATGCGTTTTTTAAAATTTCTTTCGCTAAAAAGGTGATCTCATTACAAACACACCTAAACACATATCTTTCAACGCGTTTTCCTACTGGTAAACAGTTATTCTACTAAGGCCGGTATGGCTGAATGGTTAAGATGTTTGACACATATCCACAAGATAGTGTGTTCGAACCTCGGCTCCATCAGTCATAGAATGACCTTGGACAAGTCACTAACGACTGTTTTGTCTCGGGCCACCCATCCGATAACAAATTGACTACGTTGTCACATACACTAAATGGTCCTTGTGACTAGTATGTGGTTAGTCAGTATGGATGGGGAGCTTAAGAAATTAAGCGAGAGGAACTCTGAGTCAGGCCGGCCTTCTGTCCAGAGCTACATTTAGTAAT